ATTTTTAGTAAAATATATATATTATTATGATTTATTATTACTATTTTATTTATTTTATTTTTATATATTTAAAAAAAAATATTTCTATGTTTTTTAGAACAGAAAAAATTATTATTATTGACTTTCTAATATTTAAATTACTTTTTTAATATAATTATAATATTTAAATAAGATAATATAATAATATTTATATAAAATAATGAATTTTAAAGTATTAATAGACGATAAAATACATAAATTATATGCTAAAACAAATTCTTTTTAAGAATTATTAAGCTAGATATAATTAATATTCCAAAAAAAAAAATTCTTGATAAATATATACTTAAATATGAGGATAATGAAGGTGATTTGATTTTAATTTAAGATGAAAATGACTTTTAAATTATGTAAGAAATGCATAAGATTTAAAATAAAAATACATGTAAGATTATAGTTTGGTTCGAAAACTAATAATGGATTAATAAAATTAATAATTCTTAAATAAAACTATTTAATAGTTCATAGATTTTTAAAAAATAAGAAGAAAATTTAATGAAAGTATAAACTATTTAATAATAAATTCACGAAGAAAGAAATAATATAAACTCATATAATGATAATGACAATGAAACATTTTAAAAATAAAATATAGATGTAACTAAATAAGAAGAGTAGAAATTAATAAAAGAATAAGAAAAATTAAATGAATAAAAATCATAATAATAAGTAGAAGACTTAAAATAATAACAAATAAATTAAGACTTAAAATAATAACAAATAAATTAAGACTTAAATTAATAACAAATAAATGAAGACTTATAATAATAACAAATAAATTAAGACTTAAAATAATAGCAAATAAATTAAGACTTATAATAATAACAAATAAATGAAGACTTAAAATAATAACAAATAAATTAAGACTTATAATAATAACAAATAAATTAAGACTTATAATAATAACATATAAATTAAGACTTATAATAATAACAAATAAATTAAGACTTATAATAATAACAAATAAATGAAGACTTAAAATAATAGTAAATAAATAAAAATGAATAAGAAAAAAATATATATTAAAAAAAAAATATATAAGAACTACTAGAATAAGATGAAATTATATGTATATCTAAAAAAGAACTCGAAAAACTGATAATTGAAAAAGTCCATTAAATTTTACAAGATGTATATCATATATACCCTAAAAAATAAAAAGAAGAATAAAAATAAGAATTATTATAATGTTCTATATAAAAAAAACTCGACTTTAACTTTTAATTATTAGAGGAACCTCCTTAAAATATAAAACTTTAATTTAATCAAGAATAAAATTTAATATTTAAAGTTTAAAATATTGGAAAAGTAGATTGGCCATAAGAGACTTATTTAAAATGCGTATAAGGGTAAAATTTAAAAAATATATATTAAGTAGGAAAATTGAATGTTGGAGAAAATAAAAATGTAAACATTAAAATAAAAGCACCTGAAAAAGTGTAGAAATTTACAGATTTTTGGAGGTTTTTTTCAGTTTTAGATAATGGAAGTAATTATTTTTTCGGATAACAAATTTAATATGAATGTTTTGTGGAAAATTAAAATCCGAAATAATAATCAAATATTGATAATAGTAATATTAAATATATATAAACATATAAATATTTAATATTTATATATAATAAGAAAATATAAAGTAAGAAATATTATAAAAAGCTATTAATTTTCAGAATATATTTGGAGGAGATTTTAAGTAATATATAAATTTTATTGAAGATAATGAAAAAATTATTGATATAAATTAATTAATTATACTTTATATAGAATAGAACTCTCAAAAATGAAGGATAATGATTAATATATATATATATATATATATATATATATATATATATATATATATATTTAAAAATATTTATATATTTAATTTTATTTTTATATATATAAATAAATTATAACTTTTTTATAATAATTAATATAAATAATATTTTTAATCATAATAATTTTTAATATATTTAATTTTTTATATTATATACTTTTTTTTTATATTTTTTTTGTAATTATATATTTTTCATATTTTAATTGATATATATATATATATTTTTTCAAATATTAATTTATTTAAAATATTTTTTTATTATATCACATATAAAAGTAAAAATAGATAACATAAATTACAAATTATAATTAATTATTTTTTAATTTACTAATATAATGTTTTATAATCAAACCATTTTTATAGAAACAAATAACTCTCCTTTATATTTTGGATTTTCATTAGAATTCTTATCTAAAACTTTCAACGTATAATTTTAAGGCCATTATTAATTTTAATTTTAGTCAGTTTTAATAAAACATGAGCCCATATAATCATCAGAAACCAAATTATCATGATCATAAATATTAAATTAAATACGTTCTCCTAAATAAAAATCAATAAGAATACTTTCATTCCAAACTGGATCCAAAGTTTTTTTAATAATTTTTGTTTTCCCGAATTTTTTTAATTAATTTAAACAATTACATAAGGATCTGATTTTCCATTAGAATCAAATGCACTTAATCCTTGAGCTTTTTTAATAGTTAAACTATATTATTAAAGTATTTTAATTGAAGAATAATTATTCTAAATTAATTATTAAATAATATCATTAAAATTAGATGATGTTTTTGTATTCTTAGCATATACACCTTTAGCTTAAATTCCCCATATACCATCTTAAAATCTAGTTATACAACACATTATACATCCATTACTTACTCCATCATCATTTTTAGATAAATTATATTTACAAAACTCTTTTCCGCTTTATTTATCTACTAGTCTGCAATAAGCTCCCTTTACATCGTCAAATTATTTTCCGTTAGTAAATATAGTAATAACAGACCAAATATACTTTACATTTTCAGGAATTTATTTCAAATAAATTTTAATAATCTCATCATCTCCCCACCCAAATCCTGTTAGATTATCTCCTTAATGTTAAATAGACCCATTCTTACTTTTTTTATTTCCATAATATATGTTTTCTAATAACTAACCTTCTTTAGAATAAATTAATAAAGAAGAATCTATATCACATTATGTTGTCCATCCTAAACCAACAAAAAGCTCGTCTATATGTTTAGGAACCATAAGAGTAGTTTCTTTAGTCATTTAAAAGCTTTTTCCTCCTGTCCAATTTTAACACTCTAAAAATAAAGCTTCATCAAATCCTGCATGAATAATAGTCTTTTTTATTTCCTTTTCACATTCTATAAATGTTTTTCCTTAATTACTTAACTCATTTATGTTTAAATATGTCCATTATCCGTTTATTTCTTTTTTTAATACACAAAATATTACTGATTTATTTTCTCCTAAGGTACCCAAAGATATATCATTTATATTTTATTATTATTATAATATTTATACACTAGAGGATTCTAAATATTTAAATGGTTATCCTTTATAAGAACAAACAAGTAATACTATGTATTTTATTTAATAAGGAATACTTTATAGATCTATATTTAATAATTCATCGAAACCTTATTTTTCTCCTTAAGAATCTTCAGTTAGACTTATTTTTGCTATTTTAGATTATAATTAATTATAATAAATTGCGTCTTCTATTTATCCAAGTTCATTTATTAAGCAACATTATAAATCTAAATCTATTACTTAACCTTTTAGCTCTTCCCATTATAATCCGACAGATAAAATAATATTTTATAGAATTTATATCTATTATTATTATAAATTATACATTTATTATTTATTTAATTGTTATTTTATTAATATAAAAAAGATATTTTGTATTAAAATTTAATTAATTAAAGAAATTTTTTTTTTTCATCAATTTTATATAATATTTAGTTAATTTGATAATAATAATGATAAATAAAAAAAAAATTGTATAATTAATTTAAAATAGATTATTGATATAATTAATAAATTTTAAAATTATTAAAAATAACAAAAAAATAAAATTTAGAGAAACATAAACATATAATAAAAAATATTCTTTAATAATAATTTTTAATATTAAATTGTGATTTTAAGAAAAATATATGAAAAAAAAAATTATTTATATTTAATAATTATAATTTGTATATATGAATATATAACTTTTTTTTAAAAAAAAATATATCTATATATAATAGTAATTATATATATATATATATATATATATAATTATATTATATATATATTTTAATATATTTATATATATTTATATAGATATATATTTATTATTTTCTTATATATATAATTAAATTGAAATATCTTCTTCTTTTTTAAGTATTAGTATTTTAAAATCTTTGAATAATTAAAAAAAATATAATACATATAATGTTTAAATTTTGACCCTAATAATAATATTATTATTATTTTTTTTGAAAAAAATACTATTTACAAAATAAAGACAATATTAATTTTAATACTGATTATTCAAATTTAATTATTTTAAAAATTAAGAAAAAATAAAAATAATTAATTCTTATTTATACATATATATATATATATATATATATATTTATATATATACATATAAATATATATATATCTTTATTATTTCAATAATAATTTGTATATATTTATGTTTTGCTTTTTTAAACTTTATTAATAATTTAATTTGCTTCTATCATATCTTTTTCAGAAAATCTACCAAATTATAATATTTTTTATTTAAAACTTCCTATTTCCTCATCTACATTTTCCAAAAGCCACTCGCATTTTCTTAATAAATGTTCTTTAATTTCCATATTTCTATCAAAATTTTATTCTTATTTTTCTTATAATATTTTTCCTTATTTGTTTACATTTTATTAAAAAACACTTATTTCATTTAATACTTTTTTAGTCATCCAATAAGCGCCTTCCATGAATAGGCTTTTTTCACTATTATGCCCATATTTTTCATTTTCCATATTTTCCAATTAATTTTTTAGTCCTTTGACTTCTTTTTTGAATTATTTTTGACACTTACACACTTAGTTTTTCATTTTTAATGTTTCTCCTACAAAATGACTTCCTGGCGGAATTTTTTTTGACACGAAATTTTCACGGTTTTCTTTATAGGCATTTTTTAGTTAATTTTATAGTCTTTTTATCGTCTCTTTGGCCTAATGTTCCTCATATTTAGGATTAAAAGCCAATTATCGCCTTAATGCAGCACATTCATGTGCTACACTGCCTTTGATTCTCTAGATGACCCTTTCTTCCCTCCTCATCCATATTTTATTTAGTTCGAAAAGCAATTTTTCGATTAATATATCAGTCAACTCTCCCTAATATTTCAACCTGAACTCATGTGCGAATTTAAATGCCTCCTCCGGCACCCATAGCATTCTTTCATCTTCAACTAGTTCTTTCTTAGGTGGACATTCACATTACCTTTAAATGTTTTTGCAATAAGAAACACAGCCAAAATCAACATAAGAAGAAGCCTTTATATCTTTCAAAAAACGTATCGAATGTGTAGTATCTTCTGCTAATAAAGCAAAATCTTTATATTCTTGAGTGTTTTTTAACATTTAAAGAAGTCTTTTTACATCCCCTCGTAAATGCTCGACTTCTACTAAAAATGTGCCCTCGGATTTTTAAGATAGTTTTAATAAATTTAATTCGTGTTGAGCTTTTTCGTATTTTCTTTAGAGTTAATCTTTTTCGAAATTTGTATTTTCTAGTTATTTTATTAAGTCCATATTTTTTTGCGAATTCCTATCTTAAGAAATATTCACGAAGTTTAATGTCTCAAGTTTTTCATTCAAAAGATTCTTGTATTTTTATATTTCTTGGTTTTTATTGTCGAGTTCTTTCTACATAGATGTACAGTGAGAACGCATGTTTTCTAATAAATTATCATGTCCTTAGGCCATTTCATTATAGCGGAGATTTAAGTCTTATGTTTATAGATTAGAATATGTATTATTGTCTTATTGTTTGGATAGTTATTGCTTTAATTTTTGGTTTTCATACTCTATTTATTAAAGCTTTTAGTGTAAATCGTCATTTTTTTATATTTAAAAGGATAATTGGGATTGGAGTTCTTATATTTATTGCTTTAAGTAAGTATTTTGGGATTCTATTTAGTTTATTTCGTAGGTATTTTATTTTTTCATTTTATATTTTTTTGCTTTTTCTTTAAATATAAATAAATGGATTTTTATATATATTATTTTTTAAATATTAATTATTATTTATAATTTAAATTGTATTTTTTTAATGATATTTTTTATTTTATTTAAAATATTATTTTCTTTTAATTATAAGTATAAAGGTAATTTGAATATATTTATTAAGTTATATTTTTAATATAATTAATATATACATAATTATTTTTTATAAAAATAATAATAATAAATTAATATTATTTAATGAAAATAATTTAACTTTTATATTTGTGTTTTTATATTAAACAAAAAATAAAAAATATATTAATATAAAAAAAAAATAGCTAAAAATAATTATAATATAGTAAAATATTTATTAATAATGTATGTTACATGCTTGAAAAAAATAAATATTTAAAAAAAATATAGATATGATAAATGTATATAATTATATAAATATTATTATATATATATATATATTTATATATATATAAATTTATTTACTTACATATATTTTATTATATTTTCAAAGCATATAAAAATATTTTATCTTAATTTAAAATATTTATAAAATAATATTATTTAACTTTTTAACCTTACAATTCAAAATATATAAAATTTTCATTTTTCCTTCTGGTTTAAAAATATTTTATTTTTTAATTTTTTTATTTTTTATCAATAATATAAAAAAAATATTTTTTTATTAACGAATAATAAATAAATAAATGGAAAATACTTATTCATTAGATGAGTTATGTAAAAAATTTTATAATAAAAAATATTCATATAATAAAAGAAAAGATTGTTTTTATGAAACTGTATAAGAGTTAAATACATAAAACCAAGAAAAAATAAAATAGTTAAATTTAAAGATTAATTAAAACATAATAATAGAAGAAAATATTAACTTCGATTCTTTAAATGCAGAAGAAATACAATAGAAAGCATTATAATTTATTGAATAAATAAATTTTTTAATGGAATAAGAATTAAATATATCTAATTAGGAAATGAGAAAAAAATTAAAATAATAACATTAAGTAAAAATAAATTTAACAAATGAAAAATTGGATGATATTTTAGAAGAAGTAAGTAGAATAAAAAGTAAAAAAAATAAATTAAATATATCTATATATATGTATATATATATATATATATATATATGAAATGAAAAATTAAAATAATTAATAAAATATTTGTATATATTATAAATGTAAATTTAAAGGTTAAATTTAAACTTAATTATAGTAAGAATAAAATGAAAGATTTAAATATTCATTAAGTATAATGGATTAATAGCCTTTTTATTTTAGTAAAGAAATAAAAATATTAAGTGAATAAGTAAATTTATTGAAAGAATAAAGTTAAAATTTGGTAAAAGAAATTAATATGAGTTGTTTATTAAAAAATTCTTGTGAGATATTGGAAGAAAATAATAATTTTTATATTATTAAATATAATTTAGATATTGGAAATAGTTTTTTAAATAATATTATAGAATAAATTTAAGAGATCAATAAAAAGATTTTCTTAAAATTCGAAAGATATGAAAATCTCGTTATTTCTTAATAAAGAAAAATTGATTAAATAGAACATTCTTTTAAATAAACATTACAATATGTAGAAAAAACTCAAATATAATTAAAATAAGAAAATAAACAATTAAAATACGAACTTTTTGAAATTGTAGAATAATAAACGAAATAAAATTTATAGTAAAAAAATAAATAGATGCTAAATCCCCTTTATAAGAAATTTAAAATAATATTAAAAATAAGTGATAAATATATTTTGAATAAAAATTAGTAAAAATAAAAAAATGAATAATAAAATTTTAAAATTATTTTAAAATATTTATTATTTAATTAATGATAATTTTTATTTTATTTTTAATTTATTTATTTTATTTAAAAAAATATAATTTTTATTTATTATTTTATTTTGTAATAAATATTTAAAATATATATATATATATTTATATATATATTTTTATATACAAAATATAGTTATAAAAAAAAGATAAATAGTAATAATTATAAATAAAAATGTACATATTATTGAATAATCAATTATAATTATATGAAAATAAAAATTATTTTATTATTTTTATTTAAAATAAAAATTAATAGAAATAACAAATATAAATATGAATATAAATATGATGATAAATATGAATATAAATTTATAAAGATATTAATAAAAAAAGAATATATTAAATATATTAATCTTTTATATAATATAAAATTTATGATATAAATATTATATATATGATTTATTATTTATATATTTATATATTATTATTTAATATATTAAATATATTTTATATAATTTTTATATATATGTAATATTTTACTCATTAGTTTCATAATAAAATTTTTTATTATTAATAAATAATACTTATAAATCTGATAATCATTACTATATCTTTTTAACTTTTTTTATTTTTTTTTATATTTTCTATTTTTATATATATATATTTTTTTTAATTTTACAAAAAAAAATGTATTTATTTTAAAAATTCAAAGATTTATATTTTCATTATTTTACATTTTTATAATTTTTATGAATAATATCTATTTTTTTTAAAAAAATTAAAGAAGAATAATACGAGTAAAATATAATTATTTTTCTAGAATTAAATTATAAATAAATATTAATTATTTATAATACATAAATAAAATATTAATATTATTTATCAGCAATGAAGATTTAATTTTATTAATAAATTAATAATATGAATTAAGTTATTAAAATAATATTTTTAAAACACTATAATTAACAGAATAACATAATTAAATGCACTTACCAAAGTAAAATTTAAAATATTATTGACTTTAAATAATATAATAAACAATTTATTGAAAAAATAATAATAACTTATTTTTAAAATTATAATTAATTTAATTAATAAACATAAATATTTAATTAAATATATATATATTACTTTTAGTTTTATTTCTTTTATTTATTAACGAAAAAATTGTAAAGGTAACAAAATTTATATAAATGTAAGATAAAATAATTATTTATTATTTTATTAAGGGCTTTTGAAATTAAAATAAAATTATAATTGTAAAATAATTATTCTTTCTCTCTTTTTTTTTTTATAAAAATAAAGATAAATTATTATTAATTAATTTAAAAAACAAAAATACATAAAAGGAAAAAAAAGCTTATTCAAAAAAAAAAACAAATATATATATATATTTTAAGATTATTGTACAAAATATATATATAAAAAAAAATTAAGTATATTTATATGTAAATAAATATTATTTTAATGAAATAATACTATATATAAACATTAAATTAGACAATAAAATTATAATATTTAAATTAAAACTTTTATATACAAGATAATTTTATACTTTAAATTATTATATTTTTTTAATTATCATTTTTTTATAAAGCATTTCATTTTCTTGCTTTTTTATTGAGGCATAATATTAGCTAAATCTTATTCATAAATTTTTTTTTTTCGTCTTTAGAAATTTTAACTTTTGTTTATTTTTTATAATTTATTTTTCATCTTATTAATCCTCATTATCAAATCCATCATCAGTAGATATTGAAGATGGGCATTTAATTTCATCTCTTTATTCTTTTCTTTATTTTATTTTAACTTCTCTTAATTATTTCTCCTTATAATTTAGTCTTTTTTTGTTAGTTTTTTTATTTCTATTATCACATTCTTCAAAAATATAATCTAATTCCATTTTTAACTCTTTTTAATTTTTTTTATTTTTTTGTTTTTTAAATTATTTTTTATTATAATTTTTTTGTTTTTTAAAATTGCCTTTTGTATTTATTAATCTATTTTAATCCCAAAATAATTATTTTTATTTTTTTTATATTTTAATAAAATTATATAATAATATGTATATATTTTTCATATCAAAATATGATTTTTATGGTATATTTAATTAATAAATTAAACTACTTTTTGTATTAAAAAATATATATGTTAATTCATAGTAAAAATAACAAAATTATAATTGTATATTCATAGTCATATAAAATTTTAAAAAATAATACTATTCATTTATAATTAAAGTCTAAATTTAAAAATAAAAAGGAATATATAAAAATTATATATGATTGATAAATTTTATTTATAATTATTTTATAATTATATTTTATTTAAAATGAAATAAATTATAAAAAAATATTAAATAAAATTATTTATATTTAAAATTATTAATTAAATTTGTAATAAAAATAAAAATAGTTTATATTAAATTTTTATTAAAAAAAAAAAAATTAGTAATAGACATTTTAAAAAATAAATAAATATTTATCATGTATGTAATATAATATTATATATATATATATATATATATATATATATATATATATATATATATATATATATTTCCTAATTTTTATTGTTTTTTATTTCTTATGATATTAAACATATTTTTTTATTAAATCTAAAAAATTTATACATAAATTGTATATTTATTTTTTTATAAATATTTATTTATACTTTTTTTGTTAATATTTAAGAAATATTAATTCATTTTAATAAGTATTAATAAATCAATTTTAAATATATGATTTTTATTATTATTAAATGTATAATAAATTTGATATTTAATTGAAATAATATTTATATTAACTTTTAATTATATTTGATTGAATAATAATTTCTATAAAATAATTATTTAAACAAATAATATAAATATATTATAATATTTTAATATATAAATAAAATTAATATTAATATATATTACATATCTAATAATAATTATTACTTTATATAAATTAAAATAAAAAATATTAATATAAACATTATATTTTTTTATTTTAATAAAAATAAATTTTTTTATTTATTTTTATTATAAATAATAATCTTAACCAATATAATTATATTGTTTTTTTCCTTTATTAAAAATAATAATTATACTAATATATATTTATTTCTTTTTATTATCATTACTAAAAACAAAAATTTTTAA